GGCCGGCCTGGCCGCTCGCAGCCGAGTTCCGCGCCCGAGCGCCGGCCACCGCAGGAGTTGGGGCCGAAGTAAACTTGGCTGCGCTCCCTAAGACCCGGGGCCGAAGTAAACTTGGCTGCGCTCCCTAGGACCGGGGAGCTGAGCAGAGGGCGTCGCGGCCCAAGCCCGCCTAGGGGAGGCTGGGAGCCCAGGCGGCCCAGAGAGGAGGCTGGCCAGCCTGGCGCGCGGGGCCAGGGCGGGAGGGGGTCCATGTCGCCGCCTCCATGCTGCCCCCCGGACTCTGCGCCCGGATGCTGGGGCTGGCCTTGGCGACCGTGCTGACCTCCCAACCCGGACCCGGCTCAGGGCCGACCCCCGGGAGGGCGCAGGGAGTGGGAACGCGTGGTCCGGGGCTCACCTCCTGCTGGACGCAGGCTGGGAGGCCGCCGCCTGGCCAGCTTTGTTTCGGGCCGCGCGCCCCGGCGGTGCGGGTGGAGGGCTGAGAGCTGCCCTGGGGCCCACGCCACCTCCCTGACCCCTACCGCCAGCGGCGGGCCTCGCGTCCCCGTGGGCCGGGAACCCCGTGGTGTCCCGGCGCGCTGACAAACCCAGTGATCCCCGCTGAAGCGAGTGGAAAGTAAACGCCTCTTGGCCTTTCCTTAATGGCCGCCTTGGGAATTAAGCCGGGCCAGCGCAGCTGTGGCGCTGGGGACTGTCCTCGCACTCGGTAGGACCCCAGCGCGTCTCAGGGCTTCCGAGTGTCTTCTTAGGCCTTTCGGATTCTCTGGACGCACCGAGTCGGGCTCCGGAGGCACCTCCGCTGGCGTTTCGCTGTGGAAGGAACTTCCTGGCAACAGCCGGGCGCGAGGGCACCGGGTGTGCTGGGCCGGCGAGACCCGAGCCCTGCACGCCGGGGCTTTGGCGCCCGCGGAGGTCCCCAGGGCGCAGGGACAGGGCCTCAGAGGGGCGACCGCGGGGACCGAGCCTGCCGCCACTCGCGGGAGACCGTGTGTGCCTTACGGAGGGGTCTGGCCAACTTTATGAGTAAGCGGTCAGAAGGGTGTGCAGCGGCGCTGACCGCTTCGCGCCGCGCCCCGGCTCCTGCAGAAATGCCGGCAGTGGCGGGGGGGCCACGCAGTGTGGGCAAGGTTGGCCAAGCCGTCCGCGTCGGCTGGGAAAGGGGAAAGTGGGCAATGCTTATCCCGCGCGGAGGGCTCCCGCATTAGGTCAGATCGGCGAGCTGCTTCGGGTCTTTTTGTGGCCAAGGAGGTGAGGGAGTCTTATCCCAGCCAAGTCAGCCAGATTAGAGCAGGCGATGTGCTGAAAAGAAACGCTTGCATATGGTGGGTAGATTAAGGACAAAGAATCTTTTTGTCATGGAAATGGATTTTTTTTTGTTTTGTTTACTTCATCACATAGAATTTCTCACACTTGGTTTGTTTTGTATCGCCCTCAATGACTACATGATGAAATGAATGGATTTATTTCTGCCGAATGAGAAAGACAGTCTTTCCTTCAAAAGAACTACATTGCATCCCAGCGAGGAATGTTAAAGCTTCATTATTGTGGGCCCTGAATAGCTTAAAATCGGCTTTCACAGCCGCCCCAAAATGCAACAATGTAAATACTTCTCAGCTTTGTAGGGTGGTTATCAAAATGTGCAATTTCTCCTTTTATTAAAGCATATTTTAATTAATAGAGTAGAACCCCTCGTGTTTAACAATTAACAAGCCGAGGCAGTGGTATTCATTTTTAATTTCACTTCAGAAATGTGAGTGTGCTGAACTTAATCGTGTAAAGTTGTGGAGGATATATAGCCCACTTTCGAAAGCCTAAGATGGGGTAAATTATTTACAAGTTCTCTTTCAAATTTCCCTTGTCGCCGCTCGAATTTATTTAGAGATACTGTGTACTCAGGGTTTTTTTTCTTTTAACCCATCGTAGTAGAATTAAAGTTTTCGTCAAGCCTGTGTATTTTTCCCAGTGGTTCAGCTGCCATCAAGATTCTGCCTCCGTTTCTGATCATATTTTGCAATAGGCCAAAAGCAGCCTGTCCTGGGGGTGTGTGTGGGGGGGGGCTTAGTCAAGCAGTCTGCTTCCATTGCTGGTTATGAGGGTAGTTTAGGCAAACTGTGTTTTAAAACTTCTTTCTGATTTAATTATTCCAAAGCAGATTGTTGGCGAGGCATAAAAGATACCCTGTTCCCTGTTACAAGGAATGCCCCTGTGTGAATCTCGGTCACCCTGGCCATGGTTACTAAGATAACTAAGTAAAAAATGTTCAAGATAAACGGTTGTGAAGACTGAATTACTTCGACAGGAACCTGATTTTCAAATTTTAATTTTGTTAAACGTGATGGAAATAACAGACCGCGCATGAAGTTATGAAGGAGCTGAGTTAGTTCAGTGTTTTAGAAACGAAGTAAATAATTCCTTTGTATCACTTGGGGCGTGACATATTAATTAAAGCAGTAGGTCTGTCTACGTGGGGTAAAAGCAAAGGCCCTTTGTGAGGTCCTGCAACACAAAGGTTATATGCAAAAACACTCAGTATGGGGGGAGACAGTCTCCTGATTTACAGTGGAAAAGCCTGTCGTTCTTTGGAGAGGATTATGACTTATTTTTCAGGCTTCGGTTTTAGGTACCCAGTGAGAACATGCTGTATAAAACGACCTCAGTACTCTCGTCTTAACCTCCGCAGGAATGAGATACGGTGACGCGTCTAGAGTGAGCAGAAACATAAGGATGATTTATGTAAAGTTCCTGGGTTGTCCTTTTGTGGGCATGTATTTTAAAGATTGAGGCTCATCTTCCCAGTAGAAACTGTCTTTTAAAATAGCTTGTTTCCAAATTATTTTGGAAGTAAATGTGACGCGCTTTTGGGATCCGGTTGAATTTGTCACCAGTAATGGAATCCTTTGAGCCAGCTGAGTATTTCTGTTCTAAGAAAATTAATGAAAACTTCCAGTGACAGGGCAGCACTCGCACTCCACCGGGAACTTCCGAGGGGCTGCTGCTGCCTGGCCAGATGAAACGCAATTGAGGGAGGGTGCGTTTGTCTCGTTCTTAGAAAGAAACTATGTAAAGAAGAGCAAAAGGATGTCATCATTGAAAGCGCATTTCCAGCTCCGGGGTTGCATTGTGTTTGTTGGCTCTGGCACTTCTGAGCGGTCTCCTTTCCTGCCCACTGGCAGTGTGGCTGCTCAGAGCCCCTCACTGTGGGAGCATGTGCTGCAGAAGCCAGCGTCTTCCGGGCTGTGTGTAAGCGCAGGCCGGCAGCGGTGCTGGTGCTGGGCAGACCGTCCTTTTATCTGTACATGCATGGCTAGCCTTCAGGGCTGCCCAGCACACATTTCCAATTCAACATACCAAGAGGAACAATGCGAGCCACTTGCTGGCCTTCGGGGACAGATTGTTTTTCTGGTAGTAAAAGGTAGAAAGTAAGTGACTGGAGGGGGAGGATTTGTAAACAGTTTTTTTAGAAATACCATTGAAAAACTTAACCTATTTAAAAATGCACATTTCGGCGATGGAAAAAAGCATGCCAATTAGTTCCCACCTTACAGAGAGGACTGATTGTGTAACAGTGAGGGAATTTTAATGGACAATGCATTCTAAACCTCCACAATATGCACAAGCCCAGCGGTTTGGGTCTGTGCAGGGCCAGAGGGAGAAAAAGGTGCAGGACAC